TTTGGGAAAATTAAAAACGAGTATGCCGTTCTTTACGTACACATGATCGTTTTCAAATTGAAATTTTATAGTTTGCTGTTGCTGCTGCTGTTCTGCATCATTGTCGTTGTTGTTTGAATTACTCGAAGTGACTATATTAGATGAATCATTATCATCATCGTCGTCTTTTTCAAAATTACCTATAGGAGAAGCTATATTTTCATCGAAATTATCATCGTCGTCTTTTTCAAAATTACCTATAGGAGAAGCTATGTTTTCATCGAAATCATCGTCGTCGATATTGCCATCATCTCTAAAATCCAAGTCTATTGATTCGGCTTTTTCATTGTTTTCTTCTTCTTCTTCGTCGTCTTCCATTAGTTCTATAATTTTAGATCGTTCCGTATCTACCATATTGTTGAATGATTCCAACATCGGTCTAATGTCTTTTATTTCGTTTCGCTTTTCCACCAGCTTCTCTACGGCTCGGCTCAAAACTCCGCGCTTACTTATCAATATCAATATCACAGGCTCGTCGCATCGTTTTTCCAATTCACAATCATCGGTTATGGAAAACTCACAACCGCAGTGTACATTCTCATAGACAAATTGATGCGTGATCACTCTCGTTTCAATTTTATTTTCGCCATTGTGCGTCCTATAATCAAAAACTCTAAAATATCGCGACAAAATCGATCGATCGGTCATGTATTTCAATTTACTACGCAAAGTCGAAGCGCGAATCACGCAACAGGTTTCGTCCGATAGATTCAATTTGATGATCACGCGCAAGTACGCCTGAACGTAATCGTATTCGGTGACGTTCTTCACCATAAATGCGCCGTAACAGTAATTAACACCACCGGGATATCTTTTTTTTTCGGAATTGGCTACTTGGCGCATACCCAACAGCGACGTACTGTTGTAGGTTCGATATTGATAATCATCCATATATTTACTAAGGTCTTTTTTGTCGTACATGCGATTTGGCATCATGATGGATCTGGTCATTTCGTTAAATTGCGATATTACGACTCGTTCGGGCAACATTATTTTCTCGCACCAACACATCAGTGGATATTTTATTCTGTTGTAATTTTCGTTTATACTAGAAATGGATATTCCCGATTCTATGGCATACGAGTTGACGTACATTTCAAAATTCATATGTTTTAAAATATCAAATACCAATAGAGTGTCTTTTTCATTGTAGTCTATGATATCTTTAACCGTGGGCCATCCTTTCGCCTTCAACTCCAATAACGAATCGTCGGGATCGTCGTCCGGCACTTTTCCACATCTGGACATCACGGCAAAAGTAAATCGTATATCCACCGCGTTGACATCGTCTTTGGTCGTGTTCAATAAATATTGCGAGACCTTACTGAGTTTGTAATTGCTGAGCGTATACAGCATTCTGGCTACTCTGTACATATCTACGTGAATCTGATTCATACCGTACGTGAAGCACGATTTGTACACAAACCGTGTGGTCGGTAAATTGTAAAACACACATCTTTTTAATAAATATTTTATATCATAATTTGCTGAATTGTATCCGACTAAATAATGATACTTTTGCGGTATATTTAACAATTCCATGGTACGAATCAACAATTCTCGTTCCGTGTGGAAAAATTCCGTGGTCACTTTGTATTTTTTTTCTCGCACCGATTTCAATAAATTAGACTGCTGTGAGAAATTTTCCCGATCTATGGGTAAATAAACCAAACTATACATCATTTCCGTGCGTTCGTGATATATCGCCGACGTCACTAAAACATCATCCACGTCTTCGCCGGTGGGCACACGATACTTATCTGTGGAACTGGTTTCCACGTCGAATGTTATAAAAGGCATTTGTACATCTTTCGATTTATGTCTGTTTTGTATGTCCTCGGAATTATTCATACGATAATCGAACCAGCATTTTATATATCTAGACGTGTCGAATCCACGAGCGTACAATTCGTATAGCACGAGACGGTAAATGTCCCAATAAAACGGAATGGCGGCAAAGTCTTTCACACGATCTCTATACTGTCTATTCAATTCTCTATGTAGTTCTTTGGCCGCAGTAAACGTCGGTGTTATTATTTTACACAAAACGGCTGGTCTGTCGACGCTGGCGTCGACGTCCTCCGGAGTTTGCGCAAATTTTACCACTTGATCCAAAGCGTTGAGAGCGTTAAAATTATTCACACTAAAATATCCCAAATTAGGATATTCCACGAGATTGTAATTAAAAATAGACACCATGGTGCGTAAAACTGAAATTTTCCAACTACACACGAATAATCCGGGCTGACAGTCCGTTAAAATGTATTTGGCCTTTCCGTCGAGAGAACCCATGCCGCATCCAAATATATTCGATACGTTGTTTCCTGCGTGTTTAAACGTGTAATCATACCATTCCAACACGTATACGTCTTCGCCGTCTTGGGCGCGATCGAGTTGCTGCGGTATGCGTGCTCGTACTTCTTCGTCCAGTTTGTTGCGAACGTTGTAGAAAACATTGTCGAAACGCGACGTCGTCGATGACGACTGCTGTTGGGCTTTATCAGTGTCATTGTTGCTGCTGTTATTCTCCATCATTGTGGTTTTTGTTGTAACGAGGCAGGTGATCGGTTCTGCGCGAGCGATCGATGGACCAGTCTTCGACGAATCCCGACAGTTGGGCCACGCGTACCGTGTCGATTTTCAAGTTGGAATCACGCAGCAGAGTCTTGAAGGCGCACAGAGGAGCACAGCGTCCTACTTTTTGCCAAAAATAAGAATTTTGATGCGCGGAAACTAAGGACGCGAATTCAGCGTCTGTACGATTTAATATAGTCGGCACCACCACAGCAGTATCGAGTTCCTCGTCCGTCTTTGGAACGCGAAATACGCTTATCCGATCACCATTAGCCATTCCATCGCCGTTTGTGATGTACTTTATGGAAATTATAGATTTATCGTTGGGCGTACAATAAAAACAATCACAGTTATTATTCATAACCAAAAGATACAAAATGCACGCGCTCACGTTTTATATTACGATTGATGGTTGAGAGCGAGAAATCGTTAGATTTATAAGTCAAACGGACTAATTAATATTGTACCCTCTCTCTCTTCCCAGTCTTGAGCGACTCGAAACGCTCGCAACTCCCACTCCTATGCTAGCTATCTTTCTCTTTATATATATAATCTACTCTATTATATAAATCCCCTAAGCGACGATTGGTTGTTGTTGGTGTTACACTTCTCACGATGAACGTGTGTCATTGTGACTCTGTGTTGAATTGTTTGGACAAATCATTTTTAGAATTTTCCATAAAACGAAACGCTCGTCACATTTACAATTCTCAAGTGTTCCGCAAAGCTGCTGGTTGCGTGTCCGCTGTGGTTTTAGACGAATACATCAAAAACATACCATCTATAACCGATAGGATAACTGAAAGCATAATTTTGGAACAGTTTATTTGTAAATTTGCCCAACAGCATAGAGGACGCGTAAGAGATTTGCAGAACGTTAGTGTTTCGTACAGATCGGTGTTTGAAGATATATAAAATATGAATCTACATGATATCGTGACTAAAAAGAAGAAAGCCGAATCATCATCGTCGTCATCGTCTTCGTCTTCATCGTCCGACTTGTCTACAGTTTTGTTGATAAATTCAAGCGACGATGCGAATAAAAATATTACCATTAACAATTATACATTTTGCTTCGACTCTGGTCCTATATATTTGACTAGATTTGGTAAAAGATGGAATATGTTTACCGATTTCAATCCCGAGGAATATACTTCTCATTTCCCCGAAGACATAAGGCACGAATTGGAATCGCGATGGATACACGTTCATCATCTAAATGAAAATATAGGACGACCGGCGTTTAATCGTAGCACTTTAATCGCGTGGACGGCGGTCAGATTATCGCATTTTATTACTACGAATTTTCCGTAATGAACATACCGTGCATATCGTACGGATATCTACCAACTTACAATCGGAATATAAATTACAAAATGGCAAAATCTTTATTAAACAATGATGATGATGATGATAATGATTATATAAACGACAACGACGGTGAAAAAGACGGTTCCATAACGAAACCAAAAGACGTTTCAATATTTAATCAAAAAATATGGCCACGAGAATTGTATGTTTTTCTAAAGTATTCGGGTAAATGCGATTGCGTGAATTATGGAATCGACGAAGATAACAACTACAACAACAAAAAGAAGACTCCGAGACGCCCGAAAGCCGCTGTCGTACCGACAATGGACGATATCATCCCAACAGAAGCAGTCGTTTTAAAAAGAAAAAGCGATGACGACGATCCTCAAGACGATGCTGCCGCTTTACAGAAGAAGAAGAAGAAACAATAAAACGACGACGACGGTGATGATGATTATTATGATGGAAATCACACAGAGTATAGAAACCACAGTGTTCGTAAGAAAAAAAAATGCATCAGAGTTTGTTTTATGAAGCGCAACACAATCAGCAAGAACGTCAAATCTATCAATGAATATAATCACGCTTTGGAGTTTAATGATTTTAATACTGTATGCGGTATGGAAAATAGAAAACACAACGGTGGTTTTGGTCACGGAGTGTGCATTCGTAAAATCGACTGGTCGTCGGTGTACATCATGATGGGCGACGCGAATCAAAACGTGGAATTAGAGAATCGAGAACGCGAAAGAAGGATTTGCAGAACGTGTGCTCAGTGCAGAAAATGCTCAAACTCGTCGACTTTTTGCCGAGTTCACAAGAAATGCAAACACAATAAAATCATCTACGACGAACAAGCTCTCATCCAAAACGTCTTACGACTTAAACCTATAAAAAAACTATCATAATACCCATATATATATATATATATATATATTGTAATTCAATATACCATTATTAAAAAAAATTCATTCGTTGTTAAATTATTTCATTATCGTGTCTATTTTAAAATAATAGAATGAATGTGGTTTTTTTTAAATAAAGAAGAAATATTTACTAGTTGTATAAATAATTATTTATTGAATTTCTAAAAATACAATTCTATTGTAGATAAAAAATCTTAACCATCACCAAGCACAGTGTTTCGATTCATAATTGATGATGTCGTATATTGAATATCGTTCTTTGAAGCATCGTATATAGCGTGTAAAATGTTAGATGAAATCTTTAATAAAAAGTAAAATACCAACAACAAAATTACCAAAACTATCGTCACTTTAGTTTTAGTGGGTAATGTCATTTTTATTTCTTCTTTTTCTTTTGCTGATCGATGATTTGTTGTCTGTCGTAAGCCAAACTGTCCAAAGCGAATGGTCCGTAAGCCTTGACTCGTTCAAACATAGACGGACCAGCTTTTGCCAATTTTCCACTCTTGTACAACTCTAAGACAAACGACAAAAAAAATATTTCACATAAGCAATAAAATTTATTAACAATTTTTATATATACCTATAAATTCTTTAGATTTTCGTTCGCGTTCCGATAGCTGTTGCGACGAAGCCGTGTTCTTGTTGAAATCGCGATGATTGGCTAGTCGTTGAGCCGACCAGGACGATGTGTCGTAAGATAAACGACTAGAACTACCGCAAACCGAGTATTTATCAGACGATGAAGATTGTTTTTGCTGCTGCTGCTTCGAATACTTATCCGATCTCCCGAAAGCACCACCAGACGACTGTGAAACACACACAAAAATATTAAATAATAATGGAAAATACTTATATGTAGGTGTGTGTGTGGCGACATCGTACCGAAGACGACGACGACGACGCCGACGCCAAACAAGAAGTTTTTGATGATGGTACCGACGACGATGGTTTATCAAAACACGAAGTTTTAGACGACGATGACGACGATGATAAAGACGACGCCTGCATCTGTCGTGTTAATTCCGATGATTTTCTACAAGTGTTAGAACAAAAAATTTATAACAAGATTCTAGATGTATGAATTTGAATATAGTCATTGAAACAAACTTTTCCTCCTCGCTCTTCTTCTTTCCCATTTTATAACGATACATGATGATGGTTATTATGAACGACGAATTACGGAAAAAGATACCGAGTTTATGAGTCAGTGCGACCAAATAAAATACTGAATGATTTTTGGAAAAATACGACGCTTTTCACTGATCTTATACCATCGGATTACCGAGAACCGGTTTTACAACACATGTTTTTAGATTAGAGGGGGATAATAACGCATTAAAAAAACACTTGATATAAATTTAATCTATTTATTTCTCTTTAAACACACATGACACATAAATAAATTGACAAGTGCTAGATTAAAAATGGATATAATAAGGGTATAATAACATAGATATATTTATAATTAAATCGAACATAATAACATAAGTAGTTTAACAAGTAGTTTATATAAGAATACAATATAATTGAGCATAAAAAATAATGATTGAGCACAAAATTGGAATGTATAAATAGGAAAAATCATAAGAGAATAATACACACATAATAAGGAACAATTCACAACTCCACATCGAGAAGACGTATGGCTTCTTCTTTTTTCAAGTTAATCCTGTAATTTTTCTTACGCTTGTTATAAGTACGCATATTAATCTGAGTAGCGACGGTGCGTTTAGGCATGTTTTCTATATAATTATAATGTTCGTCAAACATCAGAGGATAATTTTTCGCCACGCCCGGATGAATGCGACCATATCTTTTCTCAACTCTGGTGTACAATTGTCTTCTAACATCTTCATAAGTTTTAATATTATGTATAATGTGTAAATTTATAAAATGCACGCAATAAAAACACGCAGTAATAACGCATTCTCTTGTAACAATCATATTAAAACTTGTTCTGTTTTCTGTATGACACAAAACGCAATTCTTGGACGCCTTACCATTTTCAATGGCAGTCTTTAATTGTATCATAAATAGTCGCTTTTTAATACCGTCTTCGTCGTTATAAGAAGTGTAATATTTGTCTTTAAAGTTTTCCGGATCTTTGTCGTAATTTTTAAAATAATCATTTGGCATGAGTATCAGACCGTAGCTCTCCGGGTAAGCCTTGGTATTGAAATATTTATTATTTTTATCCGTTAATATTTGTCTATCGTAAAACTTTTTTAATTCCGGTAAATACTTTTTGATACACTCGTCTACTCTCATCGTTCTATAATCGTAATTATCCTTTAAAACACGACAACCAGCTTTGTTTAATGTTGACGGGTATATCACATCGGGGTAATGATGATATTCTTTCCTACGACATATAGTGCCACCAGCAACACTTTTCCTTACATATTTCATCTTTTGTTTCACCGGCGCCATCTCCGTCGTCACCGCAGTTGTTGGCGATGTCTCTACCGTTGATTTTTTAGGTTTTGGTTTAGGTAATTGTACAGTGGATCGATCAGCAGTATCGGTATTTTGCGGCACTTCATCGTTATAAGTCAAATTGTTTAAAACACCGTCGTTGTCATCATTATCATCGTCGTCGTCGGACAGAGTCTTACCCGCCATACGTTTACCATTAATAAATAATAATGGTTTATTGGGTGGTCGAATAAATCTCTGTAGAGGTATATTTAACTTTACGATTGATTTTATCTTTGGAGTCTTTGACGATGTTGTAGTCGCCGGCGTCGTCGTCTTCTTGAGCTTGCTGATGCTTGGTGTTTTTGATATCTTCGTCGATGCCGATGGTAAAATCGACGGTGACTTTGTAGTAGTTTTATCATCGGCATCACTATCACTGCTATTACTATTGCTGCTGCTGCTGTTACTATCATCATCGCTACTGTGATCACCGCTACTACAACCAGAATCTTTTTTCTTGCAACCGGCTATGGTGTTGTCGTTGTCGTCATCACTGCTACTGCTTCTGCTGCTGCTAGCGTCACTGCAGCTACCGCTCTTGGGCTTTTTCAACAAATCGACATCGCTAATGGGATCTATTTTTTTCGCGACTGGCGTTTTCTTCTTTTTCAATTTCCTCTTCTTATTTTCCGTTTGGTAAATAATAATTTCTTGATTAGTGTTGACATCATCATCATCACTATAGTCATTTGGTACATTGGGATTTACAGATGTTATTAAAGAATCCACTAACATGCCATTTTCTTTTAAATTATCAATAAATAATTTTCTCGTTTTCTTCAACTTTGCTTTGCGTATTCTCTCGTCAAATCTATCGCTAGAACATCCGTCGTCACAGTCTTCGTCATCGCTGCTGTTGCTACTCGGATCGATTTCGGACTCTTCGTTCGTTTTGATGCAAACATCCGACTCGTAATCATCACTGCAGAATATCGACTCTTCATAACTGTATACGCTGTCATCATCACTGAAAACATCCAACACTCCGGTGCACGCCGTTATTTCTTGTTTAAAAGAATTATTTTCACCGGTTTTCGTCAAAATTGGAAGTAAAGTGTCCACACGATCGTTCAATAGTTTTCGCTGATCGTCGCTTTCTTCTAATTCTTCGTCCACGTCCATGATGTTTCTGTCTTCTTTTGTATAGGCCACATCATCATAGTCTATTACTGATAAAGCGTTTACAAAACTCCACAAATTTTCCGCATCTGTAAACGCATTTATAACTTTTGGTGAATAATCAATATCCAGATTGGACATTGATTCGACGTACCAGCCAAACCGAATATTACCGATACCGAAACAATTTATAACAGTATCGCGATAACTATCAAAACAATTTATCAACATGGCGTTCATGGAAAACTTATCTACATGATTTTTCCCATACTGTACGAGTACTGGGTATAAAGCGTAAGTCAAATTTTCATTGATCATGGCGAAAAACTTACTCACGACCGATTTGGAAAACTTTAAATTTTCATAGTGTCCATTGGGCGATAGTTCTTTGAGGCATCGCTTGATGTTGTCCGTAATGAGCGCGCTCATCGTGAATGTAACGTATATACAAGTCACGCAATTAACATGTAAAAATATCTTTTTAATTGGACTCATCTTACCGTTAAAAAACTCGATCGACAAGTGATCGCTAATCTTTTCGGAGGCTTTGATATTGTAAATATACTCTGCAAACATTTCCACAAAAAAATGATAGAAGTTTTCAAATTCACATTGTAGTCGATCAGATATGTCAGCCTCGTTATCAAATATGGAATTCAAAATATAATTAATTTGCGTCTTGTCTATACCGCAACCATTGTTGATCGCACGAAAACGACTAATGAGTTTTTCGGGAACACTGATATTTTTATTTTTCAACACTTTGACGTGATTCATGTCATTGCGGAACGACCAAAATTTTATATATTGATCGAGATTCACAGTCTTTTCTGGGACGATCGGCAATGGTTTTTGATATACGCATCGCAGAGCAAACGCCAACATAAATTTACGTCGTTTCATCACTTCGACAAAAGTGTGTACAAAATTTGCATGATGAATTCCCATCTTCTTAAATGTAGACGACCACATCATTTGTAATTTAGAACTTATATTATTACTCAATAAGGATATATAATGTTTAATATATTCTAAAAATTCTAATGGTACAGTCGTCTTGTCTCGGCATTTTAACTTTCGTATAGCGTTACTCGCCACCAAGAGTCGAAAGTATTTTTCAGTACTCATATTTTCTCTCATTATAGATGAGTATATTTTGCGCATGACATATCCCAGGATAGACTTTTCTTCACGTCTGTTTTTGTTTTCATTGTAATTTTTTAAATCTTGAGTGCATATGTCCCAATAGGAACGCAATATAAACACCCATTCTCCCTCGTAAATATCAAATTGCGCTTTAGGATCGCGATATCTAAGTAAAAAATATAAGAAAGACTCCAAAGTTATAAACTGTTCGCATCTAATATATTCGCAATCATATCTGAAAGTGGTAAAATCACCGCAACTGTTTGTGGCGCTGTTGCGAGCAAACTTAACATTCTTCACTATACCGAGAATGACATCATTTAAAAGAGCGGATCGATATATGCGCACCAAGTTCTTAGATATCGCTATATTTTCAGTTTTTTCACGAATCACGTTATTGTTTTTCGAATAATTCTCCTGGACGTAGGTAAACACATCTTGAATCATCATATTTTCCGAATTGTTCTCACTATAACAAGCTTCATACACGGATTTTACCTCGGTAAACGATTCCGAGTAGCTGTCAAACCATACCACGTTATTTTCCGAATGTTTTAAAAAACTAGCAGAACCCGATTTTAAAGCAACGGTGTCGTCTCCGTTTTTATAAGTGCTAAGCATTAAATCGTATTTATCCAATTCGCGATGAATTGGCTGTTCTAATTGCATGTTGTCAATCAACTTTTGAGAAATCACTTTATATGTGTCGTCATCGTTTATACCCGTATCCGCGATAGTACATGACGGGTTTATAAACGCGAAGGCACATTTTTCTCTGGGTATTGTGTATTTTATGGTATTCATGTAATTCAACTCGAATTCAGTCGGTTCATTGCGCGAGAGTATTTTACGCGTGAGGCTGATAGATATGTCATAGGTATTTGATAATAACTTATTCATACGCTGTGAATATTTAATAACGTACTTTGATTTTGTCTCTAACGGATAAATGTCCAGTTGTTCGGTGTCGGGTGGGATCGATACGATGGTGGATTCTTCCTCCTTTTTAGCTTGAATGATCTCCTTTTCAGTAGGGACGAATTCATCATCATCGTCATCATATTTGTCGTTGGGTTCTTCAAGTTTTTCTTCTTCCTCGTCGTCCTCGTATATTCTCGTATTATTCTCACCGCAATCGTCTAATTTTTGTTTTTTACTACACGAGTCGTTATTGTTCTGACCATCATTCGCTATTTCGTGGCTTCTTTTATTACTTACAGATTCAGAAGTCAGTGATCGTTGTGATGACGGCGGTGATGTTGGCTGCTGTTGAAAATCAGGAGTACAAGAGCCGCCAGTCGTTGATGTCGTGCCCACTTCGACATTGGCCCCAACGCTATCGACAACAACAGTCGGTGATAATATCGGCAATTGTATTGGCAGTTGTGGTACGGGTGGTAATGGCGTATGTGATTGTCGCTCCTGTAATACTAAAGGTGAAAAATGCGGAACTAAATACTGTGGTGTTGTTAACTGCCGTATCGCTGCAGACTGTTGTAATACTGATAACGATGACAGTGGTGCTGGTGATTTTACTTGTTGCTGTTGTTGATATAAATATTGTTGATTCTGTTGTACCTGTTGTTGATTTTGATATGGCGATGACTGATGGTTTAACACCGGTGTCGACGAAGCATTGAGATCCATACGGCTAACTTCTGTGAGTGCCGCAATTGGTGTTGTTGCTGAAAAAATAAATTACATCAATCATTTTTGAAATCGTACGCAAATGAATTTTTTTTTCAAAGAGCGTGGATTTTTCACAAAACGCTGGTGAAATAATGTTTGACGCACGTATAAAGACTTTATTTCGCAGCGTCAGAAAAAGAAAACGTTTACTCACATCCATCAAATATGTCGGACGCAGAAAAAGTATTGTAGTAATCTCTGCAATCGAGCGAATTATGGTATTTTACGGAAACAATCTGATGCTGCTGCCGCAACTGTTCGTTTAGATTTTCTTTATTATTGGCATCGTTGAGATCGATGTAATAGTTGTTGTTCGATGTGTTTTCATTTTCCTGAAAAACGCAAAAATGTTAACTTATGGTTCAAAAAATATCATGAAACCAGAAATTGTGAACGTAAAAACAGAAAAAGTAATACTCACGTCTGGGAATAGATCCAAGACCGAAACATCGGATAAAAAGTCTTCCATTTCCATTATAAACAATGGCGCACGAACAAATCAAAACAAACGCGTAAATAACGTAAAAATTTGTCCGGGTCAAAAAAACGCCACGAAGAACTACCACGAACAAGTCACCACTGAGTTCTGAATTCGAATGAACATGATCTAGGTGAACGGCGCTGTTATATACCCAGTCACCGATCGGCTACGTGCTTTATCTACGCCGCTACGACGACGTCTCGACGAGAGACGAAGCGACGAAGAGCAAAAGCACCAATCATCATAATAGAAACATGCGCTTTGCGTCTTTGTGCGCCGACTATAACGATGATTACGCTTAGCGTCGTAGAAACATAGCGACAAGCCTTGTATTTTTATACGAATCATCCGCGATAAGGCGCACGTAGTAATGAATAGACGCGCCGAGGTCTCGCCGAACATATAGATGGATTTTTACGACTTCCCAAGTTGCTTCCTCTATCGGATGACGATTTTTTTACGTCTGTTTGATGCTTCGCGAGCCATGTTTGATCCTTCGCGAGCCGTTCTATTTTTCTACTGCTCTTCGCTCGTACGCGACAAGTTTACTTCTCGCGGCATATTTAAGGCTCCCGGATCTCGGCCAGAGCTCATTCTCGTAGGAGAACCCATACGCTTATCACGCAAGTTTAGTTAGCACACTTCTCTCTCCTCGTTTGCCACGCAGCCGCTCCATCACTCTTAAAACATGGAATCGCACCAGAACCCCAGCAATAGGTAATAACTCTTTTCTATAATACGCTTCTTACTCGATTTCAAAGATCATACAAACAGTTCGGGATCGCAAATGTAGAGACTTTTCGAGTTGTCTGTTTCTAATGTCTCCATCACTCTCTCTCTTTTAGAATGTTCATCAATTTTGTCTACTCCGATCCGGACTACAACCTTCTGGTTCTAAGAAAATTCGTATTCTTCATGGACATGCTGAAGAAAACCTGTGGCTATCATTCGTCCGAATGCTCCACGCCATTATTTTACTCGGCACTCTTCAACCAGAAGGGAGAGAAGACTCCAGTTCCCGTAGGTTCAAACTCTAATGATATACCTATATTTTTGCTATCGTTACAAGAGTACTTGTACAATAACACTATGTGCATTAAGTAGCCTTATTTAGTGTTTAATCACATATTAAAAGACTGGGAGCGTCTGAATGATAAGTATTACGAGTTTATAAACACTTCTACCGATTGCAAAGCAATCTGGTATGCTAAGGAGACTAAGATAGCTTTGGACAATGCTAGGCGCAATCAAATTTTTATCGGCTCGGCAGACGTTCATATCACAGTTAATAAAAAACTTGACGTGTTTTGTTTTTGCGATGACATAGTCATCTTTAGCGTGGACTTGGAAGTTTATAACAACATTACAAAGAGTAAAGTCTAGGATCAATCGTTCCGTTCGTTTATAAATAACTTTAAAGTTTCTAGAGACAAATATGCTTGTGACTTATTAAAATTTGATCCAACGTACGATCAAGATGTAGTGATCTATAAAATTCCCGATGAATTCAAAGATTCTCTCGTTCTTCAACCGCACTATAAAACTGAAGACGACGAAGAGTTTTTTTAACTATATCGACAGTGGCGTACAAATGGGGGGGGGGATTTCGGGATAAATCCCTCCCCAAGGACAAAAAAAATCCAATTTTTAAAGGGTTAGAATAAAAAATAATATATACACGTCATGAAAATATCATCATGTGTATAAAATTAAATTTTTGTAAATTATGATGGAATCACAAAAATATTAATTTTTCGTCTGAGGAGGTAAGGACTAAAGAATAAAGATATAAATAAATGCTTGCTATTCCCATACAAATTATTGTTGTGTAGATATTAAATATTGTTTATCATTATTATTAAATTGTAGCTGTCTGTGACCCGTTGCATATGTGTGTGTGTGTGTCTATTTTTGTAATGGCCTGTAATTTCCCTTATCTCTGGTTTATTATTCATAATAATATACACGATTGTCGGATTGTCCAAATGTCCGAGTTCAGTGTCGTAATCTAATCGTTCAGTGTACAAATCTATGGTTGTACTGTCGTGAACTCGTGACTTTTTTATTTATTTTCAAATACTATATCAAAATATTAAATCAATGCAATCTGCAATAGTTATCTAAAAAGTAAAGGTAAGTCGATTTTATGATTTAATTTGTTTATAAGTTGTCTTTAATATTCTTAATGCATTTGGTATACACTAGTACATTTTTTATTGGTAAATTATTAGACTACATAATGCGACTAAGTGAATATACAAATACGTAAATGTTTAACAGTGTTCAAAATACTTATGCGTAAATTTTGTTCTTGTAATAACTATCGTTCTTTATTACATTATGATTTATTTTTTTTATTTTTAAGACTCGGTAAATATAGTGGTTATGGCTGAAAAAAAAACAACCCAAAATTCATTTATTTTTTTCAAAACCTATCCCGGGTACAACATCGCCACATCAGCTCTCTTCTTCAGATTCGCATTCACCAGATTTGCCATCAACAATTACATCTTCTATACCATTATCCTCATCAGACCCGATAATCACAGAGCCAACTTTAAATGATACTAAAATCACTGATATTTTTGATATTGCGTGTTATACAAACAAATTGTTGTCACAAAATGAAAAGGCAGATATTTTAAACAAAATATGGAAACCTGATTTAAATTATAATTTTCCTGTTAAAACATCAGTTGTTGGTAAGAAACAAAAAATTGTAAAATTAAAATTTCAATTTAAATGGTTTTTAAATTTCCCTTGGTGGCGTATTCAAAAAGTGAGAACGGAGCATATTACAAATATTGTGTCGCATTTGCTAAGAACGAAGCAGGCGTTAATAATCAAAAATTGGGAGCATTGGTGTTAAAAAAGTATGATGATTGGAGGCATGCCTTAGAAGATTTTAAAAATCATTCAAATTTAGAATACCACAAAAAATGTTTATTAGATGCAGACCATTTTTTGAACATGTTAAAAAATCCAACTAAGTCAATTGATAAAATAATTGATACTGAAAAATCTAAACAAGTGTTGAAAAATCGAAAAAATATAATTCCGATAATTGAAGCCATTATCCTATGTGGTCGTCAAAATCTAGCTCTAAGAGGACACCGTGATTCTGGAAAGATTGATACAGACTCTTCAAACAATGAGGGTAACTTCAGAGAAATTTTACGTTACCGTGCCAAGGGTGATATTGAAATGCAAAATTATTTAGAAGGTCCTGGAAAAATGAAGTATATTAGTCACCGAAGCCAAAATGACATGATTGATGCTTGTAATAAGGTGTTATTAAATAAAGTGGTTTCTAAAGTCAATGCAGCGAAATGCTTTTCAATTCTGGCAGACGAAACTGCTGACATTTCAGGTATCGAGCAAGTATCATTATGCGTTAGATATATCGAACTGAACACATTGACTCTTACAGAAGAATTTTTACAATTTGTTCCCACATCTGATATGACAGGAAAGGGAATAGCCAATTTAATCTTAGAGAGTCTTAAACAATTTGGAGTTGATACAAAATATTTACGTGGACAAGGTTATGATGGGGCAGCAGCAATGTCAGGAAAATATAACGGTGTCCAAGCTCACATACGAGAAATATATCCAAATGCCATTTATGTGCATTGCTCTGCTCACTCATTAAATTTGGCAGTTTCCAAATCTTGCAGTGTACCAGAAATACGCGATTGTTTGGGAACAATTGGGCAAATTCGTGATTTTTTTATCTTTTCAAAAAGAAAGTTCATATTAACATCAAAAATCGAGAGCTCTTCATTATCATCAACAAAAAAAACACTAAAAAGAAGCTGTGAGACTCGATGGATTGAGCGATATCATGCGGTTCACGACTTCTTAGAACTCTACGAATTTGTCGAAGAAGCGTTAGAAGATATATCAATGTGGAATGATAATGATACATCAGACAAGGCAAGACGTCTAAGAAGCTGTATATTAAATGTAGAATTTATTTTGAGTTTGATAATTTTAAACAAAGGATTTGCTTTAGGTTTGGCCTTATCAAAGTATCTTCAAACAACAAGTATTGACCTTAAAGAAGCCATGTCCTTAGCAAAAAACACAAAACAAGAACTAGAAGAGATCCGAGCAAATGCTGATACTTATTTTAGAGAAATGTTTGAACAAGTTAAATTAATGACTACACGATTTGATATTGAAATTAAGATTCCGAGGACAGCTAAACGACAGACTAACAGATGCAACATTGAAGTGGATAACGCGGAAACCTATTATCGAATATCAATATTTATCCCGTACCTAGATAAATACATCAATGAGTTGGAGAACCGATTTACAAATCACCACACTACATTGTCAAGTTTCCATTCTTTATTCAAAGAAAATGGGTATGATGAAGATTTTATCAATCTTACAAGGCAGTATAGTGAAGATCTGGAGGACGTTGGAAATCGTGAAGAGATATTTATAAATGAATTTAAACTTTGGCAAAGGAAACTCAAAAATTTACCGGAACTGGATAAATCAAAAAATGCGATCGATGCCCTTTCTGTGTGTAACAGAGTAATGTTTCCAAATGTGTTTAAGCTTTTGTAAATATTAGCAACTCTTCCGGTGTCATCTGCTTCAAATGAAAGGTCATTTTCTGCCCTCAAGCGAATTAAAACTTACTTGAGAAACTCTACATCTGAGGTATATACATCTTTATATTATAGAAGTATTAGACATTAATAACTGTTGAAATATACAATTTATATTAGTACTTAATTCAAATTTAATAAAACTTACTTTTTTTTTTAAACAGGGAAGACTTAACGGTTTAGCTATGTTATCCATAAACCGTCATCATGATATAAGCGCAAACGAAGTTCTTATTGAATTATCAAACAAGAAACGACGTTTGTAATTTTTGTTGTAGTATAATATTATTAATATTCAATATGCCTATTTAAGTTGTTTTCAATTTTTTAATAAAAGTATTATTACAAAAATGAGTGTGAAATTTGAATGTTTTAACAACTATGGTATTTCGTCTTTGATAAAACATTGAATTGGGCGAAGCAATCTGATAAACATATGTATATAATATTATTTGATCCCCCCCATAATACAATTGAATGTACGCCACTGTATATCGATAACTAACTTGTCTAATTTGTATTCATTGTACTAACTTGTATTCTAATGATGTAGTATTCATTGTAATAAATCAACTCTACTAATTTACTATCAATTTTTTTTCTTTATCCATCTTTTTTAATGTAGTGCGTTTGAATTAGTCGAGATCGCGAAGTCGTCACCTCGATCGACCGAGCGAGCGAGCGCGCGTTCTCAGTCGTTAACTTGGTCAAAATAACGATGTCAAGAGCCGTCGTCGTCATCGTCATTGTCTTTATCGGTCGAGCGAGTCATCGCCAAGAGCTTGAATCGTAGAGAACAAACGCGGCACTCTGCCGCTGTCAAACGCGGACGACCCGATCGCAAACGACTATTCATATTGCACGCGCGCTAATAAGCACTTATATTTTTTCTTTAGGACATGGAAAACGCCAGATCATTGGTAATTAGCTGGATCTACGAGAAACCCAAAGCCGATGTCGATAATATCCGCAACTACATGCAGTCCTTGGATATGTTAAAATTTTTAATCGACAACTCATCTACCGGCACTTCGTCGCTAAAGCGAGACGCTAGAATATTCGAATCGCGAAAGCTGGATAGTTATTGTCGTGAGGTATCATTTAACCGCGAAATCCCAATTATATTATCGTCCATGCGTTGTTTGTTGGAACAGACCGAAAACTCCGTATTGTCAGGTGGTATGGATATAGACTCACTCATGAACGATTTGCGCGCGGAATGGGTAGATGTACATAACAAGTACGATGCTTATTTGAACGGCTTCACTATCGATCCCGTATTCATTAAATTGGGTATGATTTTTAAATTAGCATTGGATTTAGCGGCCTTTAAGAACGCCATCAGGTACGATGATTGTATAAATCTCAAACCTACGCTGACTACAAAAGATATGGCCGATCTGATGAGTTTTAAAAGCGATTTTCTAAAGTTTTCTATAGACGTCGGTGTTTTAATTAAAATGTCCAAACACATCGTGGATTTTATAGATTTTTTATTCCCGTATCTAAAAGAAAGTAATATTTATTATAAAATATATGTGAGCGAGATGTTTGTATTTAAGAAAAATTTTGAACACGCGAGAAATTGTATCGGGATTCATTATAAAAAATCATCCGCTGATTGCGTCGATTCCAAAGACTGGTTTGCCCACTACGATAATAATGATGGATCATCTAAAAACACTGCTACAACCACTGCCACCACAACCCGTCCGACAGCATCGGCGGAGCTGCCACCAAAAGCCAGATATCAACTTAGAGATCGATCGTCGATTAGTAAGATACATTTTCTCAGTGACGCTTACGATATTGTTGACGACGAGAGTATCAACGAATCATACCAGCCAGAAGATGGGAGTGACTACGACGACGACGACTACATCTATTATAAAAAATCAAACAGAAAAAACAAAAAGAACAAGAAAAAAATGAACAAGAATTACAAGAAAAAATTTTATTCTTTATTGAATACATTTCATTAATTACCAACCATATATGCTGCTTTTGTATTATTAATAAGTATTCGCGCTACTCTAAGTATTCTTATACTCTTATACTCACACAAAAAGTATTATTGAACCAATAAAGAGGTTTTAAAATACAGTCTTTAGTATATATCCTATAAACACCACCACCACACACATCCTATAATAAAACTAAGGCAAGAGGCGCAAGAGATTTTACTCCTTTCGAGGCGTTGCTACGACGGTGAGATACACCACATAAGAGCACTCACACTATAAATTCTCGTTTAAGAGTTGCACTATAAATTCTCGTTTACAAATTTAACGACAAAGTGGGTATTTTTTTTTAAGAGTCGAGCGATCGCGTCTAGTCTGGTCGCCAACTCGAGTGCATTCGCATCGAGTTTTTGATGCTCGTGGGATTTTGTGGCAATAAACGCATCCACACGATAGAAGGAAGCTTTTTTTTTTTTAAAACGATAATCTCTCTAAAATAAATCCGGGCATTATCACTTTGGAGTTTGTAATGCTTATGTGTAATTCTTTCGCGATACTCGATAATATCAAACACAAAACGTCTAAATCAAACATTATATATATGAAATTATAAATATTGATACTGAAAGAAGTAAAAGTTGTCGTTAGATTCATATTATTGTTGCGTTTTCGTTTACGAGAAATCAAAAGCTTACTCAATATAGCCTCTTTGTCGGGAAAATTATTATTAAAGCCATTGTGGTGTATAGCATCGCGACACTCTGAATTTGATATTAATTTAGAGAAAATTAAACGAGTTTTTGATAGTTGTAAATTTTTAAAATATCCAATATTTTGATTATGTATTATATGTTCTTCGAGTGTAGGCGACCATACCGTATAATTATTAATATCTACCACCATCGCGTTGGACGGAGTGTAGGCTATAAAAAACTTTGTCATGCAAAATGGCAATCTACCAGACAGAGATTTGGAATATAAACGCAAACCAATATTAAAATTAAATATCACATTAGAATCTAAATGAAGGAAACATTTGGATATGTTGAACACATTCAATCCCGTGAGTATTATATGAATACGGCGACAACGATTATGATGATATTTGTTGCAACCATTATTTTCTACACAGCATGAAGATTCTCTAACTGCGCCGCATGATGTATCTTTGTGTTGATTCGCTTCTCGTTGGTGATGATGATTCGACGGTAATCCGGAATCGTTGGTTGTTTTCATCGAATTAAAATACGATAATGTGCTTTTTAATAACTTATCATCAATTTTTGACCATCTGTTGAAAATATAATGATCGCTTTTGCGTTCCGTGACTATAACGTGTGGAAAAAAAAAATTAATCAACTCTGTGAAAATATTCGTCGACTTGTGAAATTTTTTTTTTTCGTACTTACGATAATCTTTCTCGAACGATTGAGAAAAATTTACAATTATAAAATACTCTGATTTATCATCATCACAAACTTCTTTTTTAATTTCTTCAAACTTGCTGTTTACACAACGAACATTGTTCGGAGTGAGATCAAATACCGAACATCTTTTCTCAGCAGTCTTGTTTTTCATCGTCACTTTATACCGTTCGCAATTTTCGTTGGTATCTTTGCGATTATTACAATTGTGGGACATCAAAGACGCCGATGATTGTAGCGGTGACACTTCCGTCGGTATCGACGAAATACCCGTAATCATGTTTTTTGAAAAATTTGTAGAAGTCGTAGTTGCGGTAAATGTAGTTATAGCAGTTGTCATCACGCTCCAATCTTGAGTGTATACGCGCCGCGGTATCGGCAACACAAAAACAAAGAACGATAAAAAAGAAATGCTTTTTACGACCACCCGAAGCCTACAGAATCCGAATGTATACTGATAAACAAACACGATGAGTCTGGTATCTAGTCATTAGTCAAGTATTATAAGCTCTGCGGCGCACACACACACAAGATTTCTTCTTGCCGCCACTACTGTCGCTGCCGTCGTCGTTGTTGTCGTTAACGGTTACGACGCCGACTGTCGCAATCATAATAAATTATTAATGTAACTCTAAGATCGACGTAATATCCAACTAAGCTCGAATCGATCGACATATAAATATGCGAAAAAATATTTAATTCAATTATAATTCTTGTCGAACGATCCTTTTCCATTTAAGTTTAATATTAGCTATTACTATTGGTCGATCTTTTCTATTTTCGTGATGGTAAATATAAAACAACCATTATATAAAACGATAAGACTAGAAGAATAGATATTACTCAGGTTTTATATCAATTATCCGAGCTTTTTATACTTAATGTTATACATGTGTATGCGTGTACGTTTAGAATTATAAATTCAGATGTTGGCAATGTATTTTTTTCATACCAGTACGTGCGTATTTCCCTATCCATAGACATATCAAAAGACCTATGAGAATTAAACACAAGCGTATTATATAATTACTGACGATAAACATCGATACGGCTGCCAATACGCCGGAAACGGCCAAACTAAACGATTGTATGCTAAAACCAACACTTAGAGATTCACAATTTATGAACGGATAGAAATCAAACAATCTCTTGTCTTCGTGTTGATTTAATTGTTGGAAAAATCACGAGTACACGATTCGCATTTGTAATAACGTCTTATTAGAGTATGCGATGGTGGTGGTGGTATAGAATTATGAATTATTTTTCTTTTATTACCCAAATGATACGACACATCGTCGACGACGAAATAATAATGATCGAGTATTCCTAATGTTTTTGGTATCACTTTAATGTAAACTTCGAATATTGTATATTTCATCTACCATTAGCGACATAATGATGATTATGATTTATAGAGTAACGAGTGTATGCGTATTAATATACGTCGATTTCGCTACTACTGCTGCTGCTGCTGCTATTGGTGTTGTTTATCATTGTTATTTTCAACATGGAGTGTAGAGTTACTCCTATATGTTCGGCTTTGCTTTTTACTTTGCTTGACGATCGGAAATCTCTGACCCAACGTTCGTGTATGTCTTCCGTGGCGAGCTTATTGCCCCGATTATCGTCGTAAGCGTCGTGTATGTCGTAAATTATATGCAAAGCCAAATGATCGCACGTTATTATGATTTTTACTAGAATCGAATCGTTGAGAATATCCCGTACGATCTTTTCCTCAAACTCTTGATAATGTTTTTCAAAATCAAACTGACAATTGTTCCAAAATACGCGACTAATGTTATCGATCAGTATATATTCCGTGTAAAATTTTTCATTATAATAGACACTGAGAATGTCCAATTTTTCGTAATTCTTGATACTATACCAAAGCGGTTCGGTCAATATATTGTCACACGACACTTTGTGCAATACTATTTTATCAAAATGAATATTGTTGTATTTTAAAATCGAAGAGATTATAGTTGGTACGATGTTGAAAACACGCCGATCGTTTTTCATTTGTAAATTATAGAGTATAACCGAACTGAAGACTTCGGTTAAATACGCGTACATTTTCTCCGATACGTCCTCGTTCGTGTCCAAACAATTCGATTTTGTATTTTTATCACCAACAACATCGACGCTTTTTTTATTTCCATTTTTTAAAATACGCTTGACGTCCGGTATATTATTATTCATTTTATACTATCTACGAGTATATATAGTTTAAAAAAAAATTAGGATTGATATATAAATTTCTTTTCGGGAAAAACGTACGCCTTCATAGTTTCGTTTCTTAACTCTGTGCCCATGTATTTCCCGTTTGCCATCGATCCGGTGTACAAGACCGTTATGTCTTTCACGACGCCCACGTGCGGTTCACCATAATTACGCGTGTCCGGATTCATGTGAGAACCGCTCACCATAATCGTTTTATTCAATTTGCGCATAGCGTTCAGCTCGTTTATGGCGGTAACGTTAAAATCTGGATTATTTATGCACAATATTATTTTACGATCGTTCGTTATTTCTTTTAATTTTGTACGTAAATAATTCATAGACGGGCGTATGTTTAACATTTTGATGGAAACGTCTAAATCGTAATTAGCTTGGATGATGTGCCAATATTTTCCCAAATTAAATCCGCTCCAAAAACCCGGTAAAGAACCACCGACGCTATGCGCGTTCTTACTCATATAACTAATCGCGTTTAATATTTTCGATATGTTCGTTAATTTTACATCGGACTACACCTCGGACAGATAATCGTTGTAGCCCAATCCCAATACAGTTGTGTTCGCCTGATTGTGATACACGTCTTGCGAGTCTCTGAATTGTCTGTTTTTTCCGTACTCGGTCAGACTACCGCTCATTATGAACAGATCCCAATTTACCGTGTTGTTGAATTTTAATAAATCTCTATTAGCTACGTGCTGTAACCAACACGATTGATCGTCAATACTATTTCTTAAATTTTTAAAACACTTTTGCACTTGTAAATCAGAACCCACGGCCATTTGTAAATAATCCGAATCCACTGAGTGTCTCAATCGGCTAACGATTATACGCAAAACCGTATTATTATCCGATACGTACACATTATAATATAATTTGTTTTCAAAGATCATTCGTATGATGGGTTTATCGGAATCCAAATCGATACCAATCGCCGTAGTCGTAGCCGTATCGTTAGCCGTCGAAACGCAAAATGAAAAGTTTTAGTAGCATCGTTTCGAGCGCTGTCGAATTCGGTTTGTAAGAATTTCACATTCTCGCAAATCCATAAACTTTTTAATTCTATAAAAGGATTGTATCTTTTAGTAATCGGCACTTCGAAATAATCGAACCCATTTTCGCGCTCTGTCAAAGGTATTGTATATTCGTCTAAAACCGGAGCTTCATCGTCGATGTTCGCGGAAAAAGCGTTATTCGATTTGGAATACCATTGTTACTGACACTCGTCTTCGTTTTCGCGAGCGTACCACGTGTTTGTATCGTAAAAAGGTAGATATGTGGCGTTATTTTTGTGTATGATGTTTTGCACGAAAAACGGATAATTGTGTAGTACGTAGAACTCGAATAATACCAATGTGCAAATAAAAGTCGAATAGACTATTATTTTCACACAATTGTGACTTCGTCTTTCTTGTGGTGTCAGTTTTTTTAGTGGAGATCTTCATGATGACGCTATTGTAATAATACTGATTGTGTAAATTTTTATACCAATACTATATTACTACAAGAAATTAATCGATAACCGGTTCAGTTTGATTTGGATTCTAGTACAGATGATATTCTTCTTTTAAAAAGTCGTCGATCGCGATCATTATCCACATACGTCGCTGTTTAGTGCGTAGTCGTCGTCGTCGACAATGGATCCTCTGTTTCTTACTACAAAATTCGCTATATCGGATTTACGTTTGAAAATCTACGATTTTCAACTAAGAGACCACTACCGGATAACCAGTAATGTGTATTATAGAAATTGCAATTGCAGTAATCATTCTCATAAAAAATTAAGATGTCCACTGACTTTCGATACCAATTGCTCCAAGTGCGATCAATTAACTTCTCTCTATATGCCTTTTTATGTGAATCTATTTCATTCGGAATTATTTTTAAAAGCGTCGTCACAGGAAACTTGTTTGTTTAGATGTAACAAAAAACACACCCACACTCACCACCCACCGTGTAAACACTGTATTGGCTGTAAAACAAAAAATTCTTGCATCATCACATATCCGATTGAGTGCGAGTACGGTGTAACGTCCGAATGTAACAAACACGCTAGGACGTCACTCGATCATAGTGATGTTCTTTATGAACATTTAATGGAAAATGGATTGCTCTTTTACGTCTGTCATGTTCACGTTCATCGACACAAAAGAATCAACTCTGAATTTCGCTTGGGTACGAATGCGCATGCAGTTGGCCTCAGAAAAATTGATAAAATACTGTTCGAACAAGAAAAAATATATGATTCAGCTCTATGTTATGTTCAATTGGATAGATGTTGTGAAGACGCTGTTTTTATAACCGATTACAAGGATTCCTTTTTAATAATACAAACTTCTGAATTTGTAGATGAGACTATCAAAAGAAACCCATCGAATTACATCGTCTATAATCCGATATTATGGAAAGAGCACACAAAGAGTGAATTTGTGTCGTTGATCAAAGCAGTTTTGATGTATCCCGAACTCATAAACGATAGATATTTGAAATTTGAAGATTCAAATTTTAAAGTTGGAAATATCGGAAAATACAAGAGTGGCAATCATTCTGGTGTGCGGATAAAAGTGACTGGTTTTGAGACTAAAAGTGTATTCCAGACCGCCACTATATCATCAAAACTGAGAAGACAGTTTATAATATTACCAGTAGAGCTATACGATAATTTATCCGAAGAGTTTGATTTGAATTTTTGCCTCGTCATTCGTCATCCTGCTATAAACAATACGTGTTTGTATGTTGTCAAGATTTTAAAACATACGGACGCCACCATACAGACGATTACAATAAACCACCACATAGCCAAAGGACTGAATCAGGATCAAGATGGTGATAAAAATATTATATTTTTATTGAAAAAAGATCACGGTACTTTTGCGGAAAAATTGGCAAGATTCGAAATTTCGAGCGCCTTCGACAAGGAAAAGACATTATTATGCGATAATCGTTTTTCGTTTAGCGAAAACACTAGTCTTCTCATTTACAGAAACTCTGATTATTTATACCGACGATCATCGTTTTATAGAAAAACTCGAGATTATGGTTTGAAGTATATGCTTGACGCCGGCCATGGCTTCTTGCGCGACGAGTATAGAGAATTTTGTAAACTCATCGACGAGTTGAACGATAGAAATGTATACATGGTTACGCTTTCGGATCTAATTAACAGCTCGAGAAACTCGTTGATCGATAGCGTCGTATTATCCGAAGCAAAAGGACATTACGAGAGCGTTCGTATATTTCGTAAAAAACTATTCGACTCTTCGATAATTTTTGAAGATACCCAACACAGAAGAGACAGTAAAAAACAGATGAATCGTTATATAAATTCATCTATCGAAGTGCGTAACATTGGTAGAGAATCTTTCATTTTGATTATCGGACAACAAGACGTGAAAATTTCGTCGGGAGTGATAACACTGAACAATATAAATTACGCTGACGTTAAACCTTTCGCTGGTTTTTTGACTCTACTGAACAATTACGCATCGTACGATCAATTTTTATTACAATTAAAGACGCATTCATCGTCGTTGTAATAATATGCTTGAATGGTACAAATGTCTTATTATATTTATTTGTAATGTTTGTTATTTAGCTATAGGACTTTCCGTCAACTTTTATAAAAAAATTTTAAATTATCACATTACCGATGTCTTATACACTCATCATTTATTATATCTTTTGAATTCTGCGTTTATTCCGATGGGTGCTTTGTGTAGTGGTCTTTATTGTCGTAAGTTTTTTAAAATTAAATACATAATAATTACATTTTTACTATTGTTCATAGTATCTTGGTTCGTTCTTTTGTATTCTTTGTATTTCATTTATTCTGTAGAAACACAGCTATCGGCAAGAGTTTTTATTATTCGACCGATTATATGCACAACGATAATCATTCTATCGACTCTCTGCACACGGTACATCGTAATTTTATACTTACGAATTTTTTCATATCACAATGCATGCTCAGTATTACTCACGGGGTGCTACAAGTGATCGTGCCCGATTATATTTCCGTAAATTTCAAAGCGCCGACTCGCGGATCGATGATTGTCTCTTGTAGTCTATCGCAATACATGGGTAATGTTATTTCAAAGACTCTATCGTCCGGACGTTTGACTTTTTAATATGCATCATATCAATCGTCTCGTTGTCCATCCTAATAATATCTATAGTATTCATTTACAATCGAGATGATGTTTGTGATATTAACAATGCAATCAATGATGAAAATCATCTCGAATCGAATGCCGTTTGTGTTTCAAATATATCGACCACCGCTACGGTGAAGGCAACGGCAATAACTACGACGACGACAACGACACAAAGTCAAATCGCATTACCAATAATCGAAATTATAACAAATGCTCAAAAAATTAGAAACTTGTTTAATATTTATCATCGTAATTATTTAAAAAAATTAATTTTACTACAGGTATTGTATGATTTATCCGGATCGGATTGTATGGATTTATTGTTGAAGTTTGTTGTAAAAAATGAAACGTATTCGAATTTATATTCAACAATTTTTGGTACAATTATATGTATGTGCGTTGTTAACAAAATGCAAAGAAAAATATTGTTTGTATTGTCTTTTTCAGGATCGTTCGTTTTTATGATTATAAGTTTAATACCTATGCTCATTTTTTTAATTTTTATAATACATTTTTAATATTGATAATTTTAAATATAATAAGCGTAATGTTCTCTCTGGGCATAGATCGTTTAATTTTTATAATATGCGGAGAGCTACATCCACGACATAATAATTGTATAATCATCGCTGTGCATTTTCTATTTAAATACATTCATCGATCTATTGTACACTATTTAATTTTTACAAATATAATAGACGTAGAATTATTTATAATAGCATTTATTGTAAATTTGATTTTATTAATGTATATCTTTTTTAAATATATACCAGAAACTAATAAATGAAAAAAAATTGTAGTTTTTTTTTATTCATTCTACATCCATTTTACTGTTGCGCGTGTACGGCGTGTTTGATGGTGTTAGAAAACTCGACGACACCGACCGATTATTTAGGTCCATACGAGCGCCAACATCGGTTAATTCTTCTTCCAATGATTTATAATTACTAGCACCAACATCGTCGTCGTCGTCGACAATCATGTCAAAACTAGAAATATTTTTTGGAATTTTGTCAATTTTCTGTAGAATATTTTTACTTCGATCGGCTGAATGCTTTAAAAGACGCTCTTGTGTATTCTGAGTATCGTTTAACATTTCTATTATATCATGATCGACATTACGATCGTTTGACGAAATAACCGAATTCAACGATGATTGCGGTTGTGGTAATGATGATGATGGTATTATACTACTAATATTACTACCAACAGCGTTGTAAACGATATTACGATAATTTCTATTCATTTTAGTATCAGCAGCAGCAGCAGTAACAGAGGTAGACGGGATATCGTTAACAACATCATGATCGATGGTAGAAATAATAGTATTGGTGGTATTGATAGTGGGTGTCTTTACGCGCAGCTCACCGGGATTCGTGTTCTCTTGCATTTTATTCAATTGCCGTGAATTTATGATATAGTAATTGTTTTTAGTGGTGAACAGTTTATTATGCATATTGGCATATTGAGCCACGTCTGACGCTCGGTTTTCCACCAAAACCGAAACCATAAATATTCGAAATTTTTTAAATCCCAATTTATCTATACGCACTCCGATTATCATGGCAAAATTACGCAAAGACCTATTCATCTGAGACACCGAAGTCAATAATACATATTTCTTGTTCATTCTATAATATTTAAAATCAATAGCGCGATT